GTTATAAAATGAGAACCTTGTAAAAGAATTTTAAACACACACTTGATGGCTACATGCATGATATAAAACATGCCAGTCAGCATCTCACCAGGTGATGATCTGTGTAGAGGACATTACAATGCAGAACTAGTCTAGTATTGTAAGTATGATAAGGAAAAAAAGTAATTAATCATTGTTCAGGTTTAGCGAATGGTCAATTGATCAGTTGCTCTCTCACCACATGGCTGTTGCTTACCTACCATCAAGTTGTGCAAACCTCGTAACCACAACAGCTTTTCTATGTATGGCCAACAGGAATATTAGTCCATCAGCTGACAATATAATCATATGCTCAGGGTTTTTCCTGCATAGAGAATTGAGAGGTGGCCGCCTGCGTCAAATTTCATACCGCCTCCCGACAAAATTCTAGTACTTGTTTTCTCGGTACTCAGTGAATTTGACGTTTGTAACTGCAATTGCGGCTGTGCTCCGCTACGGCAATGTAGTGGCGCTGGATTGTAATCTGTGCATCAGGCAGAGCCACAGTACCACCCCTGCCTAATTTTCAGACAGGAAAAACCCTGTATGCTAATATTTTTCAAAATTCTGCTGAAAACACAAAACCATTATTAATCATTTAAGTCAGTTATCCAAAAGAATTTAAAACATTTTCTGGTCTCATGAGAGAATGTGCTGCTTACTCTGTTTTCACATCACTAAACTGAATGCCTTTGAGTTTTAGACGGTTGGTCAGACAAAACAAGCAAGCTGAACAAGCACGCAAGCTAACAAATACATTGTGGTGCCCTAGTTCCAACATACGCACACTAAAGCATGACCTTTATGAACTCATCAGTGCTTGTGTCATTTAGGCAAAACTTCTCCAGAGCTAAACTTATTGGTCAATACAGCACATCATTTGCATGCCCCTGAGGAGCCTGGTACTGTCAGCAGGTCAATACTGTGGCCAACACCAAGTGTTGTAGAAGTTAGAAGACATACAAACTTGAAATATCTGTCAATATAACATTGACTTTATGACAAAGGGGGTCAAGCAAATTCTTGCCAATATATCTTCCAACAAGAATCATTGGCAGCAGACCAGAAGGCAGTTTTACTCCCTACCTGTGAAAAAGGAATGAGCTCTGAATACAGAGAGGCTGCACAGCCATTAACAGGAGTCAGAAACAAGCACCACTATTAATCATTTTCACTGATTCTCTAGCAGGCGGCAATTTGTTCATTGAGTAATTCAGACATGAAATGGACGGGCGAACGAGGGGAGAGCTAGGGTAATGTGGCGAGGTAAAGGCGGGATCAGCGTTTCACACTCCTATAAAAAGGTGAACAGGAGTTGGCACGAGGCTTGCACAGGGCTGGCATGCTAAAATATTAACGTCCAAGGCAGTGAATATTCATGCGCAGTTGTCCCCATCATCAGATTGTGGAGGACAAAAGCAGTGTCCCTGGAGTGTAATCCAATTCTACATGTTCCTGCTTCATTTCCAAGGACAGGGGGCTCCAGGCGGAGCGGGCGGCTGCTTGGTTAGAGGAGAAGCTGCGGCTGCAACATGTTTCAGCCAACAGGAAGCAAGTAGTTGCATTGGAGTGCTGGGTCATGACAAGTGAATGTGACCTGAAGTCATTACTGTCTCCGCAGGGCCAATGACAATGGCTCAGGTTGTGCCGTTCATGCCTCCAACCATGTCTGTGGTTGTAACTATTTCTTCATGGGCCCTCTCACCTTACAGTACACACTTAGCTGTCAAAGTGCGAACACTGTTCCTCCAATGACAGTTCTTCGTAAAATCTCTGTTGTATCAAGATATTCTGTTCATCTGCAACAGCTACTGTGCATTAACAGGGATTTTTTTCAGCGGTAAACCAGGACATAGTATACACAGGCAAGCAAGGGGGAGGGTAGCTTTCTAGAGCAACCAGAGCGTGCACACACACACATACACACACAAGTACACTCCCTGGATCTGCGTGTCTGTTTTCAAAAGGTAACCAAGCAACCAGTTCCTGGCCAGGACCTTTGGCTGTAGGCTTATCAGTTAACAACTTTCTGCGCCTGCTCACAGTTACACCAGGTTTTTGTTTATCCTCAGTTAGTGGCTACACTCTTGGGCCATACAGCCAGGAGTGGAGGGGGATGGAGAGAACACTAAGGCAGGGAAAATGACAGTTCAAATCCTATTCAAGTACTCCAACATGCACAAAGCACCGACTGGCAAACAGAAATCAAGAAGTGTCTGTGGAGAGAGGGATGATGTGGATAGACATGGCAGGCAGCATTAACCACAGCGTCTAATGATTAACAAACACATAATGTTTCTTAGAAAAGGTCTTTGATGATAGATTAGTAGGGACCAGGCTTGCTGACGCAGTGAGCATTTTGCCTTGTTTTTAAAACTAGTGGTTAACTTTTCATTTAAAAATCTTGTTGAAAATAGTGTAAGAAGAACTACTGTCATCAGGTGTAATCCTTTGATGGAACAGTCATGAGTATCACAAGGAATAACAAGGGGGACCTCCACTTCAACAAGAAAACAAACACAAAACAATCAAAATTCTTGGAAGGTATTAAAAATAATAAGATTTACCATGATGTTTATTTTTTGGATTGAACACTGTGTGTACTGTGTACTGCCCAAAGTCAGTCAACGTAGAGCCTTCAGGAACAGTGGCCACAAACCAAGTATTTGCTTATTTATCTACTATTGACATCTCACATGATTTCATGCTAACCTGTAAAAACAACCCCCTTTCCGATAGTGACAGCTCAACACAAACAAAATGAGGACTAAATTTAATTTCACTTTATAATGTGAAGGCTAGATGAATGTCATCTGCACTTATATTGATTCTAAATCCTCATCACTGGTTATAATTTCAAGGATTTCACATCTCCCACTTACAATTTAATTTCTTTTGTCAATATTTTAAATTGAATGCAGTGCCCCAAGGACAAATAGCGCAAAGAAATGAAGCAGAAAGAACCTATTTGTTATTTTGCCATTTAAGAATGGTTAGTTATTTCTGAGCCATGTTATTTCAACATGTCTTGGAAATACACAGTAACGTTTCTGTGTATTTCTAAACCATTTCAAAAAAATGCTATGAGTATGGCAGATACTGTTCTTGCCTGCTGAAGTGGAACAGCAGCCAAATGACGAGGCCTTGATGCCATTAGGATGGTAATGAGCCCAAACTAGTGTACACAACAATGTGAGTCATGAGACAAAAGAAGGCCAACAACACACTATCTAAACCTTATATTACACTCAGTGCCTCAGCGTTTACATAGAGATGTCCTGGAAGAGCTTAAACAAAGCGCTTCTTCATTACATGCGGTTTTTCTCTAATCAGCAAACTGGAATGTCATCGGCCTGACCATGGACCTCTGTGGCTTCCCATGAAAATCTCAGAAAATATTTCAATAACTACCACAGGACGTCACTGATTGAAGCCAAAAGACAACCCTGAAGCAAAAGTTTCACACTATTGTTTAGAGTGGGAGGAGGGATCTGTCAGTTTCAGTCTAAATTCCATGACACTAAACAGCCACGCCCAGATGTATTCGAGTAAATGATGCAGTTGCTACAGTTAATAAACAACAGCAGGTGAATATATATTTAGGATGAAGAATCACTCACATTATTATCATATTGATTTGATTGATAATGTTTCTGCATTTATTTCTCTGCTGGCACCTGCACACCAACAAAATAAACCATAACAGAAAAGTTTTGAAAATCAAAATAAGTTAGATTTTTGACCTTCTGTATTTTTGTAAATGAATACATCTTAACTTTATCATTTATTCAATGATGCTTCCGATGAAACAGAAAGAAAATAAGTGGAGCTATAAACATCCCTTGGCTCTATAATGGATCATATCCACCTTTAAATGACTGACTGCAACTTAGCACAAACAATGAAGGTTTAAAAATGACCCACTCTAATCAAAGGTTACACATAACTCACCTAGAGTATCAACAAACAACAAAAACCCTCTTAGCTGAGGGTCACTGGGACTAAACTTTCATCAAATGAGGGTCTTGGTGTTGAAAAGTAAATGACACCAACATAAACAGAGCTGTCAACACAACCAAACGTGGTTAAGTTAGACAGTGTGATAGCCTGGGGTTTGGGCCTGGGGAAACGGGCGGGGGTCAGCGCTGCTGGCAGATGGCAGACAAAAAAGCCCGTACTTTTGAAGTCCTGTCGCCACAGGTTTAAATGCGGATCAAGCTTTTGTGTTAACCACCAGACGATAAACCAAAACACATCACACGGAAATACTCAGATTACAGGGACCAGGAAACAATCTACCTCCAACTCATCTCTGTGGGCTTTTAAAACACAATACTGTCCGTTTTAAAACCATTCATTACAAGTATTAAATTAGCCTACAGACCCCCACATGGTATGATTCACCTCATCAGTAAAGCAAACCAAACCCCTGTCACTTTATTGGGGTTATTAAGACAAAATGTGTATAAAAACGCCTGATAAAACGTTAGCAGACTTTGATTTATAACCTGCTGAACCTTCTTTTTTCTTCTTCTTTGCGTCTCTCTGTCTATTTGAAAATACAGAAACAAAGACTGAAAGAAAACACATTGCTAAACAGCAATTCTTTGACAAATAATCCACCATAGTTGGGTTTTTTTAAAACTATTTAAATTTAACTGCGGTTTAGGCGGACGGTTGTTCTCTTGTGCTAGCTCACTAAACTGACCTTGGGTCAGAGTTACTCCATGTTGGCCAATTTCTTTAAAGTGTATTCATGTGTCGTTTGGTTAGCCGGTGAGTAAGTTATATTTTAACCACACTAACATGTGGTAATGAAGCCTAAAGTTATCAGTTTCTTTCAATTAAAGAGAAAGGTAAGTTTCGCCGGTGTTCACGCTGCTGAACACGGCTGACCACCGAGACTGAACTCGCTGCCGTTTTACTGAAAAAAAATCATTAGAATCAAAGTAGCTCAGCGACCGTTGGTGTCAGAAACTTACCTGCGAACAGGCTCAACAGAACACAGCAGACCCGGGTTATCGAAGGCTCCATCACTGTTCCGGCTATTCCACGACTTCTCCAGTGAAACTTGGTCCGACAACTTGTGCTGAAACCGAGTGAAAAGCAGTAGCCCTGCTCGACCGAAGCATCCAAACTCCACTCCTCCTCCTCCTCCGCCTCTCTCTGCAGGTGCACAGCGGAGCGCGCCCCGGGGTGTCACGTGACACGCGGTTATCTCAAACAGTATCCCGTGACGCCCTCTGCCGGTATGAACACGGAGCTTTTCCCCGTGTTTATTCATGGAGAGAAGGCGCAAGTGTTTTGCGGTGTGGTACAGTGTGTGCGGTCACGCCTAAGTGCCTTTAATTTGTGTACTGGGGAGAACTGGTGCAGTTATAAAGGTAAAGGGTGGTATAATTGATTTTTCCTCTTAACTGCACTTTGATCAACAAAAACTATTCTTGGCATTATCTTTAAAAGCATCCTCATTTTACTTTTAGTGCCTAAAACTTATATCCAATTCGCATTTCCAGTAATACTTGCCCTGGACTGATACATTTAAATTAGTCCCGCACAACACCTTGGATGGCTATAACCCAGATCTACACTTTGCCTATGGTGTAGGAGTGCATGTTAGCTCCCTTTCATTTAGTTAGAATAAAGATTATTTTTAACACTGGTGATGGTAAAGCACCTCACTTGCATAGAAGTTAATCAGTAATTTAAGGAATCCTCCAGGTATTCATTGAACTGATGTGCCCATGTAGCTGAACACAATCTTTCCAGAAAGCCTGTCAATAGATGAAACTAATACTACTAGCTCTGATTTATCTGTAGGGGTGCCAACCATAGTACCCACAGACAGTAAGTATTATGGTGTGTTAATGACTACAATAATTCACTTCTCAGCTTATGTAATCACAAAGATAGTTGAAGACTTCATGTCCATAACCATCAGACCAGGCTGCAGGTCACAAAAATGTACCGGTACCGGTCTGGAGCAAGAACTCTGAACTGACAAAAAAAATCATCAATCAAAATAATGGAAAGAGGAAGTGTGGAGAAAAAAAGGAACATTTCATAAGTCAAAACCACCACCTCATCTGTCAAACATGGCGCTGATTCTGTTGTGGCTTGGGCATGTATGACTCCAATGGAACTGATCACACTGATAGTGTGTGACTTAATGTATATCTGTCCAATTACTTTTGAACCCTTGCATTTTGGGCACCATAAAAAGTACACTACAGCCCTCAAAAGACCTGTATCTACACAGTTCTGTCAGTATTGATGTAAACCTAGTTAAGGCTGAGACTTAAAGTATCCATTATTTTTCATCAAGTTAAATGTGCTGAAACTCAGAGCCTGAGGCACAAAAGATGTGCAACTGTCCAAATACTTGAAGTGGGTTAGAAAAAACATATAACCACATGTTGCATGCTATACTTGTCTCTCTTCAATACACTGTCTCAGCAAGAAAAAAAAAAGAAAAAAGGATTAAACATAACCACAATACTTGAAGGGGTCCTTTAAAAAACAAGAGAATAAACAAAATCATCATGCTTGGAAATTGTGTTTAATAAAAGTTCATAAATTTAAGCCTATACATCTGAGCATTCTACACTATGAATAAATAAAACATCACAAAGGACAGTAGGTGCCATACATGAAAGTCTCCCATTGTAAAAATACAGTACTTCAAGACTACACGTGTAGTATTCCAATTTCAATATCTAATTTAATACAAGTGATTTATTCAAACTATAACAAATGATCTAAAGTGCAAAAAAGACTCAAAAACAATCAATATTTTAGCTATAAAAATTGATTTTAAAAAAAACATTGGTCAGTCATCTTAAAGTTGTCTTCAGCTTTAATGTCCAGTGTGAACAATATGCACCATTATTACTAACTGTAGCAGTGTGCCAGATTTTGGTTTGTGTCCCAGTATCCAGGCCCTCCTCTATAACCAGGAGGGAACCACAGTTTATGCCTTAAAGTGTTGGGGGCTCTGCTGCGAGGCCTGAAACCATAGTGAGGCCGTGGAAGGATGTTACCTTTCACTGGTACCATTTTTTTTGGAAGCCATGTAGGGGCAGCTGGATTCATTGCCTAGAAAGAAAAACACAAAAAAGCTGCCATCAGCTGAAACACAAACAGTCCTAGCCTTTGACCCCATTAACTGTTTGAAGGTGATGATAGTTTTATCTGCACACAATTTCAAAACCAGTAGCCAGAACAAAGCATAGCTGCTTCACAATTCATCAAACCTGGTTAATATATATATATTTTTTTATTCTTAATCATAGGAATTATAAAATGTATAATACAATACCTGGTAGGGACAGCGGCTGTTGGCGACAGTAAGGGGGGAAGTGCGTGTGCTCTCCTCGTCGGATGAAGAACCTGAGTGATAGTCCGATGTCACCCTCTCCAAAGCGCTAGTCACCTTCTTTGCAACATCTTTGTCCTCTTCCTCATCACTACAGAAAGTGGCCACGGAGAAGAAAGGATTTTGTTCTCCATACCTAACAATGGGAAAAGAGGAGAGAAACATCAATAATTCATATCTTTTTTTTTTTTTTTTTTTTTTTTTTAATATAAAGAGAACACACACACTTTGCAGGAAATCTGTAAACTATTTAAAACCGAACAAGTCTTGAAAGATTGATAATTAGAACGTTTTGGGATATTCTTTATAGTCTTAGCTGAATGTATATCACTGGTTGGAGATATTAGTACAATTTTAACAAAATCATCCAAACAATACACCTGTTAAAAGATGTTAAAGACGCCTGAATGCTAAAACCAAGTAATATCTGTGAACTACACAAGTATGTATGCCGGATTCACTCTTAAAGTCTCACCTGCAACACACCTCCCCGGGGTCCACCCACAATGTAAGTTCACGGGGAAGTCCCAGGTCACTGTACTGAACCCCGCTCTCCCGGCAGGCCCTGAGGAGCTCTGGATCCTGCCTGCAGAACTTGTTCACTCGGATGCACCTGCAAAGCACACAAAACTTTAAACAATCCTAACGCTGTCTGCAAAAAATCAATGGAAACACATTCATAAGAAAAGCTGGGCTGCATGTGTAAGAATCCATATTAATAGAGTGCTGCAGGAATGAGTCTGAATACTTGGAAATAACTAACGCATTTATCACGTCCGGCTCCCTTGTCCTGAAGTCTATGGTTTTTTGAATGGGGTTCTTGTTCAATGCCTGAAATAAGGTCTTTGGTTACCTGAGTCATGGTTTTTTAAAGCTTTTACGCATCTCAAAAAAGGCAGTTGCTAACAAGTGGCCAAATAAATCTACAGAGGTTGTTGGGGATGAACATGAAAACCGATCTACTCACCAATCCACTTTTACAGCCTCGTGTTTATACATGCGCTCATGCAAACTATTACTAACAGAAAAGGCTTTTGTAGAAGAGGTCAGAGATACATCAAATTACAAGTTTGAAGTTAAGTTTTGGTAACGTTGAAGTCATATGACCCTGTTGTAGTTCACTTATCATCTAACATCATTTTTTTTTCTTCTGGTGATTGTATCTAGGCTTCAAAAATCAAAAGTGGTGTTTATTTGTGAGGGAAAAATTTAATTGGCTTTTTGACAAGGAAACCAGGGTGATATACTGAAATATGTCATCCCTACAGCACTCTATGGCGGTCAGTAAAAAGTCAAAAGAGGGCCACACCTGTATGCTTGCCCTTTGCTGGGGTTTCCGGGGTACCAGTGCCCCTTGAACTTCTCCTGCAGAGCAACAGCGAGCCTCTCAACAAACAGCTCAATCTTGTGCGATTCCAGCTTCCCCCCCTTTATCACAAGCCTCTTCAGGAAGAACACCACAGCTGCAATTTCTCTCCTCATTTTTCACATATGTTTCATCACGCATGCACAGTCTCTGTAAGGACATAAACATTAGTTAGATGAGTACCAGTTCAATCAGCAGTAACCAAATGTTGACATTTTTAAATAAAAAAAAAAACAAAACTGACAAACATATCTACCTTAACTATACTAAAAATGTCGAAGTCTGACAGACAAGGAAGTATTTTCTTTTGTCTGTTCTGTATTAACCCTTTAGCGTGTTGTTTTCATGCATTTCCACGCCTCTGTAAAGCACTGAATGTCAGTTTAAAAGAAAGGACCTACCAGTGCTCTTTTGTTATCCTACTAACGCGCACTTTCAAGTCCCTTTCCTTAACGTTAAACGCCTATGTGTGCGTGGCAACACTGTTGTTATGGAGAATATTTTTGTTTATAATGACGAATGATAACACAGTAACCCTTTACGTTTACGTACAATTTCATTTTGCTTTTGGTGAGATCTGTTGACTTCAGTTAACGGCACATGTCCCAGAAAGGCGGGCTGTGACGCACAAGTTCCGGTAACCCACGCACCACCTCAATCCATAATATCAAACAGACTACTTTACTCTAACTAGCCAGTGAGCCCGCTAGTTCAGCTAACAATGCAAACAATGTTACCTAAATCACACCGGAACGCATTTGAAACTTACTTTAATTATTTTAACGGTAGTTACAGTTTTGACGCTAAAACCTACCTCAGGGATAGAGTATTTCTTTCAGAGAATAAGGCTGTTAGCATTAGCTTCCCAGCTAATGCGCCAAGTTAACGCTAACAGCCTCATGTTGCTAACTAATCCAACAACTGTCCTATAAATATCATGGCAAAAGTTAGAAACTGTCATAAGTTGTGATATAATCATATAACGATTACACTGAGGTACACTAACTAATACAGTAAGACACGAGGACATAAACAACGTAACTTACCTTATCTCGTGGTTCCCTCCAACGTGTGGGCAAACAATGAATGGCAAGGAGTCAGTGGCCAACAGAAGAACCCTTGAGGATCAGTTGCTAACCCCGCCCTTTACAACACAAATCCCGCCCACCGCTCTCATATTCATTGGCTGTAAACAGACGAGCGTTGGCACGTTCATTGGTGGGGCACAAGCTCGTCAGGGAATGAGTCACCCACATAACTGTTATGACTCATATCGTCAGGTATGTGTTTGTTGCAATGGTTGCATCCGGGGATGTATTTTTATCATAAAATGTGAAAATAGTAAAACTAAGTTTGGACTTACACATGACATTCTTTACTTTTACTCTTTAGTGTGAAGTTTGTAAGATGGTACAAGTTAAGTGTATGTCGCTAATGTAATAAACTAATCTCTAGTTTAACTGCTGATTACTGTGGGAAATCATTAAAGTCAGATACTCCCTTTCCAATTCTGCTGCCTAAAAACTACAATTCATGTTACACAAACTATCTAATAATGGCTTGTTCCTGCCTTATACTTAAGGGAGGGTTTCAGACGTTCATAAATTCAGACATTTATGATATTGTTGACTACAATAATTGTGATGTTTACCCGTGGATTTACTATAAGAGCCCTTAACAAATCCATTAGTTTCCCACAAGAACATAGAGTGCATATTTCCCGGAAATGGCACTCATTACAACTTGTAAACATTTATTTGTCCACAAGGGGGCACCCAACCTCTATCTACCACTGCAACTCCCAGTTTGTTGAATCCATCTCAATGTAAGTCAGCAGTGGAGTCGTTATCAGATCAAGTGTTGGTGAAACTTTCACTTTCCTGATGTTTGCAGTCATTTTGTGTTGTCATTGTTGTCAATATTCATGAATTTCCCCTAGGGGATAAATTATCTATCTATCTATCTATCTATCAGTATCAATTATAGTAATAGTTTCACTTAGATTCTTAAGTATACATAACAACAATGCACTTCCTACAGTTTACAATGTCAGCAAACGCAATGAAAACACCTGGCTCTCATCAGGTGATAATAAATGGACTAAATAAGTTGTTTTTAATAGTAAAATATTGTTGAACATAAGTTGTTGCAGGTGATTGTGAGGAGTTGCTGCTTTATCCTTTTAAACTAAATTTTCTGTAATTACTTTTTTGCCAAGCATACATGTGGTATAAGAAAAAGTATCTGTCATTCTTTTCCATGCAGTGGCCACCGTCAGGAAAATACCAGCATGTCAGAGTATGTAGTAAAAATAATTTCATTTTATTAACAGTTTACAAAAAATACAAAGTCACTTAAGCACAAATCACACAGCCTGTGTAATGTTCATGAACACACACAATAAATAGAATGTAAAACATCACACAACACAAAAAAAGAAGTCAAGTCCAAAAGGAAGGAGGTGGACGTCTAACAAGTATGCTTACATCTCCAGTAAAAGATAATGAGACTGCCAAAATAGACAAAACAAGAACAGGCAGCCTGAATTTTCTGCTGAGCAGAGGCACAGGCCTAGGCATGTTTCCACAGTATACAAAAACAGACAGCATTCATATTTAAAACACAAATAAAAACCATACAACTGAAGACTGGAGGACTAGAATTTTGCATTAAGGACCAGTAATCTGAATCTCTCAAACACTCAAGCACACTAAATACACATCCAAATAAAACCGAGATAGAAGTTTAAAATGGAGCTTAAACTTTTAACTTTAAACCCTAAAGGGGTCAAATACATTTAAATCTCTTACAAAGAGAGAGCAAAGAGATACACTGACAATGCTGAGTTTTTCTAAACATCAATCTGATTATAACCTTGTGTTTCCCCAGCTTATTATATGCGAGTAGCTCTGATCTCCTAGGAGAAAAACTCAGATAACTAATATTCTTTCAGATAATTTCTACTTAATAAGGCTTCTGATTTATTTCTCTCTTTCTTGCATAGGGTTCCTGAATAATAAACTAACCACAATAGTAACTGTTAATACCATTTGTCTCCTTTTGTTCCAAAAAAAAAACAAAAAACAGGGACTTTCAGAGGCACAGTAGACCAAACTGTCCCATTTGTATTGCTGACATCAAATAGGGCTCCCATACATAAATGCAGGAGAGGGGATGACATAAGTTAACACTGAACATGAAAAAAAATCAAAAAGCTAAAAAAAAACAAAAAAAAACATAAAACACACACAGTGTTCTAGAGAACAATCATTTCCATATTAAAAATCTATAGTTCATTATTACACACACTGAACCAAACACAGAAGTAAACCACTAAACCACATTTTAAATCGGTTTGGTATTGCATGTTGCTCTGTAATCTAAGTCAAATGCTTGCAATTCACATGTGAAACATAGAACAAATACAGACTTTGGTTTGGCAGCTGGGTTTTTCTTTCAATAGCGCTCATTCAGTGTATAGCCATACATATGACTTGTGCTTGACAGCTATACCACAGACAACAAGCAGCTATGTACTAAATATCAAGTAAATCTCACCAGCAATAATAATTATAAACTCAGTGTTAAAAACAAAATATTTCTCATCTGTAAGTATATTAACTGATATTTCCACTTGCAGCTTGACAACCAGCTATTACAAAGTATTAGTTTATGGACACTCCCAGATAGTCACAATGACCCCAATGAAAACACCTGCACATCTATTATAGCCTTGTTAATTTCACACACTCACTTGTCTTTGTTGCAGTGATGCTTTAGGTTCTTTCTTGTCTTGCACTTGCTCTTTTCCAAAGAGTACTTGATTTCAGTTAAATTTTTTGTAACAATTTTTCAGTGTTTTCCATAATATTTCTATTATTTAAAAGAAATGCAGCTAATTTGTGTTAGTATGTATAAGTATTTGCATTTTGTCAAGCAGATGTAGCCCACTGCTGTTGATTCTATCTGATATATAAAATTGCCAACACTTCACAGGACCACTGTTTTCACAAACTATCATGTCAACTTTGGCAGTTGGAAGGCCAATCAAAACTCATACTCAAAAACTCATGTTTCTGTGTGTAGCTGCATGAAAAAGCTTACACCTTGTTAGCGCTTTACATAAGTACAATAATCAAACACTACTGCTGGCAGTGGCTGATGGTATGAATATGATGGAGACCATCCGACTAATCTGCATCAAGTGTTCGCCCATGCCATGTTATAAAATATTCTAACTCACTTCTGACTGGCTCACCACCTTCTACAGAAAACCACAAGATAGCATATGGAGGAGTATTAAACAGTGCTAAAACCCACATTTGAATATCCACGTTTGACATAATCAGAAGAAAAACTAAAAATGTATCTACAGAAAATGAAACAGACCAATGAAATCTGAAATGATTGACAGCAAACTAAACAAAAAAAAATAAAGCCATCAGCAACCGTCCATGTGAAATTATTTAGACAAACCTTTCAGTCTGTGTTAAATTAAATCTTAAAAGGTATTCGTTAAGGAACGTGTCCAGTAAGGACATGTCCTTATCTTGTACTGGAGCCAGGACACCTGGTACTAACATGCATCCTAGGTACTTGGGTTGGGTGGCGTTCAGGTCACATGTCAGACCAGCAACTTGTTTTAAACTGCACACCAACATTAATCCTTGTATCATCACTGCAACCACGAGAACGGAGGCCTTGTTAACCCAGCCCTTAATGCTGCTCTAATGCAGAGCTAACAGCTCAGTCACCATAGTGTCGTAGAAGTCACTCAGTTATACATAAAGGCATTTTTAGTCTCGCTGCAGCCAGCATGCCCAAGTGTTTGTCAGCTTCCTCCCAGCAGCAGAGACAGAAGCCCCACGTCACACCTCACTCCACAGGGCCGCTGCTGCTACTGGCCTTGACCCCTGCCCTGCTAATGTGCAGCCAGGGCAGCTTGGCACAGTTCTTAAAGAGCTGCTCGATGGCAATGTGACGCACGTGCAGCTCTGATGCTAATGAGTCTTTTTCCTGCACGGCCACAGTCAGCTCCTCGAAGACCTCTGTGGAGGGAGAGAGAGGTAGAAAATGGGACTCAGCAATTTCTTTCCCACACAAGGTGAACTTATACACAGGCAAACAAATGGGAGAAACAAACAAGGCAAAGAAAATCAATAATAGTGATTACTGAAGGAGCAGAGGGCAAAGACAACATGACAGAAACAGAATCACCTTAAGACACCCCCCATGAAAAAGAAAAATCTAACTGACAGCTTTAGTCAAGGACAGTGTTATGCAGCATTTAAACAAGTTTATAGACATGGAAACACTTCCAGTATAACGTATACTGTGGATCATAAAATCCTGGCGAGTGTGGTTCTCCCTGAATCATTTAGGATGAGAAATAACTTCCCCATCTGCTGTGAGTAAAGTAAATGAAAATGTGTGAAACTGACTCATCTCCTGAAGACTGAATGAGAATGTGCACACCACACACCCACTACACATTGATCTGGTGGAGGACATCTCACATTAGCGCATGTGATTTCCCACTTGACACTGGCCAGATTAATAACTGGACTCATCCGATAACTCACACTCAAAAACTAGAATGATCAGGGTGTCAGGGAAGCAAGGAGTGTGCCAACCCTCTCACAACAATAATCTGTAATGCTTAGGCTACATCATCTGTCTCATGGTGCAGTGGGTACTAGACCTTCCTGAGGTAAAAATAAAGCTTCTGGTGTTTGTAGCTTAGCTGTTACTGTGTGAGGCAAACAACAGGCCTAACTGGTGAAGAATGCAGTGAACAGACAGGCAGGGTGTGCATGAGCGAGCACTACACAGTGCCCAATTCAACACAGCTGATCACATGGAGGGACATGATGTGTTGAGTAGACAAGCCTTCCAGTCTTTGTTAGCCCCTGCTTTATTGAGTGAGCTCAACTCAGACTGGGCCATGCTGCAAGTTGACGCACTCTTTACTCATTAGGGATGGGTACCACAACCTGGTATTAAATTGGCCCTGGTATCGATGCGCTCCAACGTTCTGCTTTCGGTACTGGAGAAAATAAGAAAATAGATTGCCTGTTTGTTATTGCATCATAAAACCAACTGTCTCTGATTGAGACATTCGTCTA